ATTGTTTCTTTTATTTTTCTTATATGTACCCATTTCATGTATTCATAGCTATGTATATACTTATACCTATTATCTTGTAAGCGATTGACAAATCAAAATAAATAAAAATAAAATAAATAAATACTGATCATAAATATTGTAAGTAATGAAATACACTATTAATTAAGTTTACCTTTTGTTTCTTATTAAATGATTTTAAAGACCAGAGTTATGGATAACAGACATATTAATGACAACTGGTTGGAATGTTTTATTACAGACAATATCATAGATACAATTGTATACTTGTAAGTATCACTGGGTAAGGAAATGTATACGGTAAGGTGCTTTTGTGCTTGTTTCTTTCCTGTGCTTCCCATTAATATCTAGGTGGCCTCTGTAATAGAATTCTGAACTAGACAGTCTTTGGTTTGATCCAGGGGATTTAAACCTAGCTGAAATATAGCCACTTTAAAGATAATGAGGCAATTGTTTCATCTGAAATTCAGAATATTACAATTTTATTATGGTCATTTCTATAAGCAAACAAGAGTTATACAATTGCAACCTTTTTGTATAAGACTTTTGTATAAGACTCAGTTTTAAAAGTGTGCTTTTTAATTTTTCTTAAACCTGCTACCAACTGTGATGGTATTTTTATTGCTAAACGTTGTTAATCTATTATGCAGAGAGTTAAAAAGCAAGCTGTAAGTGGTAGATGACTGTACTTGAACAAATTAGTTTTAAATCAGTGAGACCAGCTCCCTCAATATTCAATTTTTAGTAGAACCATGGGTGGGAGGAAGCTATCTATGTGCAAGACCACCATATGTATCCTCAGTAAATCTGAATTGTGTGCTTTCAGAATTATTTTGTATTCTGGTTTTTGTGCTTTGCTTATTAGGCCAAATGGAAACTAATTGGATGCAAGTAGTTTATCCACCTTTCCACAGGCATTTCTTTTTCAGCCATTCCTCTCATTAAGGACCTTAGTCCTATCCTAATGTAACAATTGTTCATGAAGAAGAAATAGACACACTATTTATTTATCGTATTAAATAAAACTCTCAGTGGTATAGGCTTAGTGTACTTAAATGGTACTATTTTAGAGTGATTCGATATGTTCATCTAGCCTTGTTCCAGTTAAAAGGATTTTACTAATAGTACCAATAGTACTTATTGTAACTCTAACCATTAAGATGATAACATCAGCAATTTTGGTACATGTACTATCTTGTTTAATCTTCTGTTTTTTTAAAAAATGGCACATGACAGTTTTATTTTAGATAAACAAGACTTTCTTGTTTTGATATTTTAGAGAAGCTAAGTATTTCGTTATGGGTGGGTTTTAAGTTAGGCGAAGGACTTTTTACAGTGGAGATGAATACTTATCATGAAGCCAATTAAGCATCACCACTTGAGAATTGTATTTTACAAATACAAAATGTTATTTTTATCATAGTTTTTTATACTGTCAGATTCTTGTAGTTTTGTTTGTTCCAAAGTGGGATTATTTCATAGTATATTTACAGCAAAAAAAATACAAATAAAGAAAGTTGTAATTTCACAAAGCAGGTTGAAACATATTTTTGAGCTTTCAAGTCAAAAAGACAAATTTAACAGACACAGAAATTTAATTTCACATTGCTTTCAGAGAAATGCAAGACTGTATTAGCATCTTCTGTTTTCCTAAACATGCTGCTTTTCAATAGGGGCCCTCTATAACTTGTGGAGCTTTTTGCATGCTCTGCAAATGCATTCTTTGCTTTGTGCTCAAGGTCATATCCAGGTACCAGCATCACATTGTGGGAAGATGAAAAATAGATTATTGCTAGATGTATAATTATTAGTTTTAGCTAATGCAGCAGTGAAATAAATTTTCCTGTTCAATGTGGCCTTACATTAAATTTCTCACTGAAGTGAATTAATGCATGTTGTAATTTTATGTTCCTAAACAATTATTATACTACTCCTTCATGGAAAGTCTCTCTTGGTATTTTGAAATCACTAATGATCCAGAAATTTAAGGAAAAATGTATGTAGTTTAAAAATATTTAACTAAAGTAGTTAATTTATGGTTTCATCTTTCTTTTTGCTAGTTCTTAAATAGGCAGGGTGAGATTTTCTCTGAATTGTCCATTTAAGGATTTTTAATAAAAGCAATGTTTCAAAAGAAAAAGAAACTACCTGGCAAGTTCAAGAGAAGTGGGCACAATATTTGTGGTATACACAACATAGTAAACATAGTAAACACAATACAAGACACTGCCAGATACTATAACCAACACAGCACAGGGAGGCAAATATTATATAGATTAGGGGTCACCAACCTTTTGGACCTCAGGGACCACCAAACTCATAATTTTAAATCCCTCTGACCACTAATATGAATCCAGCATGCTGCTCACTGAAGCACCTGGATTCCTGCTAACAGCATGGGGTGCTTCGGGCACTGAGCTTGGCTGCCTATTTCTGCAACCTTAAATACTCAGAGTCATTTGGACCCATTTCCCACAGAAAACAAAACACCAGGATCTCTCATCTCTCTTTCTTCCCCTCCCTCACTCTCTGTCTCTGTCTCTCTCTCTCTCTCTTTCCCTCCCCCCTTTCTCCCTTTCTCCCTCTTTCTCTCTCTCTCTCTTTTTTCCTCCCCCCCTCCTTCTCCCTTTCTCCTGTTTCCTCTTTCTCTCCCTCTCCCTTTCCTCTCCTCTTTCTATCCCTGGGGATGGGGGAAAAGGAACCTCTGAACTGGTGTTGGGTGATAATCTGATGTTTGGAGGTCGATGAACCATGGCTGGCAGGGAGGTGGGGCAACAGGGGTGATACCAGTGGTGGATGGACTGATACACGCGGGATACCATAGCGTCTGAGCCCTTCCTGGGTGTTCTCTGGCCTGCGAGGGGAGGGCATGATCTCCCACGCCCTCCCCTTAGAAGCTTCTCATCCTCCTAACCAGAAGCACTCACACGCAAAGCACTCACTGCCCCTCTGGCACCCGCCAAGCCTTCTCCTTCCCGCTGGGTATATGAGCACTCTGGGGAGGGGGAAGAGAAGCTCCTGAGGGGAGAGGGTTGAGCCTCCCCCTCACATCTCCCCCCTCACAGCCACTTCCTGCGGCTCAGGAGATCCATGCTCTTCCTGCTGCTGCTCGGCCTCCTCGATGCTCTGAAGCAAGAGGCAGCAGGCACAACACAGGTTTGCTAGGAGGACTGCAGGATTACCTCATGTCCCCGCCATGGTCTTCACCATGATCTTCAGCATGTGGCATCTGAAAGTAATAGTGTCTATTTTGAAAGCTAGTGCAATATGGGGTATTGAGGTATTGGAGTTGGACAGTTAGATTCAAGTTCTTACTTGACTAAGAAACTCATTTTGACCAGACACACACACACACACACACACGTATGTGTGTCATTTATTCATATATATCCTGTGTGTGTGTGTACACACACACAAAGTATGTATATGTATGAATAAATAACACACACACAAACACACAGGAGTTATTCACAGAGCTATTGTGGGTGATATAGTAAGGGGTTTATCCAATACACCATTTTGAGATCTTAGAGGAAAGTTGAGATATAAATGTGACTGTAATAGATTAGAATTAAATGCATCTATGTGGATAGTTCAAAAAAAAATGAGAAGGTTGTCTTTTAATATATTTTAATGGAATAATGTTAGTGATTTTACATAGCTTACTGTTTTATGTCTGACTTGCAAATTGTGGGCAACAAAAGCGTATACCGTGAAATAGAAAATTACAGTTGTACATTGGTATTCCTGAAACATTATGTCTTTATCTCCCAAGGGAATTTTCCAACAAAAGGTTTATGTTAATTGATTTAGTACCTGCATATCTGAACCTGAAAAAAATTAATAATTATGTTCCCTCCCCCCTCCCCCCTCTCCTTTATATAAATAAAGGTGTGCAGATATGACTTCATATATATGTGACTCCTCTGGCACCAATATATAGTTCTATTGCTGATTTGTGTTCAAATTCCTTCATGTTATGAAAAAATGATGACCAAGAGAAAATTAAACATCAAATAATTTATAATTCTTTATGTTTTCTCATGTATACAACCAGTTTGCTTTTGTCAAATGGTCTGGACCTATGTGTTGCATTGTCTTATGGGATGTGAGAAGTATTTACATTTGAACATAGCCAAAAGGATGCAGATTGCCTCATTTAATTTAAATAATATCAGAGTGTGTTGTATGCAAGATATTTCTAGGAAGCTCTTGGGAGAAATGAGAATTCTTCACAAAGCAATATAGTTCCTTCAGGCTGTTTAGTCAATAAGCCTGCTCTATAGAGTCACCCTTTTAAGACTGTTATTATAATAGGCTGTATGTCTATGAATAATCCCTTCATTTAATAGGCTCTAAAGTAAAGAAAGTCAGTGCAACAAACAGTGATACTTATTTTTCAAGAGACAATCTTTTATAAATTTTATCCCATGCGTTTAGTGGGCTTTGATTTTCAGAAGTTATTTTTTCGTTATGTGGGCTCAGCATGCAAGAATGAATATTGTATTCTTTGACATAGTCATTGCTTGAATAGTTTTATAGGATAGTCTGTTATATTAAGTTAGCAATTAAACTCACTGAAATTCTGTAAAGTGGCATAATATGGTTATAACTTCTTCAACAATTTTAAGTTGTAGGCAAGAACAGGATGTAACTTCGATCAAGCAGAAAGCAAACTAAATGCTCCTCTTTCTATTATTAACTGTCATCCTTTCATTTAAGTGTTAAATCTAATAATTTGTAATTAACAGCTTTGTTATACGCTATGAATGCCCCCGGGAAAAGAAAGCACTGCTCAAATTCTGGTGCATTGTGAATTTTTTGAATGTAAATCAAAGGCAGTGCCTGCTGCGGATGGCAGCCCTGATAGAGAGAAAAAACGCAGCACTAATCAAAGCTATTCCCCACCCCTTCTTTCTTTCAGCCCCTTGAGATTATATTCATTTTTCTCTTTGTTGTTTATCTCTCTCTCCAAATTAAAGCTGGATGATGAAGTGACCACTGCTCAAGTGAAGGAACTCGACCAAGATGTGCTGGTGCTTAGGAGAGTGTTGTCACAGAGCCCAACCCCCACATCTCGGAGTGCAGAGAATGATTGGAGGTAAGAGTTTTTCCTTGGTGCTCAGACTCAGCTAGAGTCATGCTGACGCAGAGCTCTTAGCAGCTGGCTGAATTCAGTTGCTGGCAACCCAAGTGAGAGGGCAGCATTGAGGGAATGTCATTTTCATTTGCCATACAATATGGGAAGTTCAAGGCTGAGGATCTTTGACCCTCACATAGAGAAGAAGGATTCTGCTTTGTTTCCAGGCAGAGAATTGCCTTTGCACACATTTGATGTACCTTATTTTAAATACATTGATGAAGAAGATGAGGAAGATGAATGGAGCAGTCGTTCTCAGTCTTCAACAGAGGATGACACTGTGGACTCTCTCCTTTCTGACAGATATGTTGTGGTGTCAGGGACACCAGAGAAGATTTTGGAGCATCTCCTGAATGACTTGCACCTGGAAGAAGTACAGGACAAAGACACAGGTACATTGTAATAACATCATGCTCATGAAAAGCAGTTTCTCTGTATCCACTTGTGTTCTTAGCAAACAGAGTTGATCAGCTACTATGCAAATATATATATAATATGGTATTTTTCCTAGCAGCATTTTACCTAAAATTATTATAATTTTACAATGTTTTGGATAACACTGTTTCAAATACATAGCATTCGTAGTAACATCTTACTGTGTTAATATAGTGCATTATTATATTTAACAATAAAAACATTAAACTTGAAAATGAGTTTTTTAAAAAAGTCTCATTAACTTTCAGTGTGTGTGTGTATATAAAGATAAAAGAAAACAATTTAGCAATGTGTGTGTGATAATAGGCAATCAGAGGATAACAAGCTGGGTTATATAGCTGTAAGGTTTATAAGTTAGCAATTATTTAAAGTACTCCAAAGCTACTTGTTTAGTTCCAACTGTTTCTTAATTTTTTATCATTAATAGCTTACCTACATCACATAATGTACAACAGAATAGCCACCTTTAGCAATTGGCTGCCTTCAGCTAGAGATTGTACTTTTGTTTCAGCCTGGAGTAATTATTATATTGATCAGGCTGCTTGACGTGCAGGTTATTTTTCAGCTGTAATGTTGTCAACGCTCTTTCAGTAGTTTATCAAGACCACCTACAATTTACTTACAGTTTTAATTAAAGCAGACGGTTAGCTGTCCTGAAACATTCCCTATACAGTTGAAGGAGGAATGTGAAATACAGAGAGCTGGAAATGGAATTAATATTTTTATTGTTCTCAGAGGAATGCTAATCCCAAATGAGATTATTAAAAAAATAAACACATTTGGAAGAATTTAAAAAATAAAAGCATAAATAACATTGCTGAATTCTTAGGCATTCCTGAGTCAGATTTTCTAGCTGCAAATCAGTAGGTCATAGTTAGGCATAAGGTATTTGTCGTTATTATGTAGGTTTTCTAAATTATAAGTAGAAAGAAAGAACTAGTGCTTGATTTATTGTGCTATTCACTGATCTACTTCTCTGTGAATAGGGATTAATACTTTGTGCCTGGAAACCATGCCTGTGTAATTGCTGTGCTTCCTCAGGCATAATCATAGTAATGTTGTATGTAATTTCTCTAGCACCAAATCATAGGCTACATAAAAAAGTGGCGGGCCATGTCAGGATTGTCTTAGCTAGGCACCATGAATCCCATTGTGTTCTTAACATTTGAATATTTGTATGGAGTAATCTCTCCTGTAGATTTATTTGTGCATCTTTCACAAATCCTATAGAACATATTGGACTCCCCAATCATTATGCATTATGGTTACTTATTTTTAACATCTGAAAAAAAGTATAAATTAATGTTCATTTATCCAGTAACTCTTTGTTACTTTCCTATTCCCCTTCCCATTTCTCACACTTATTCCACTGCTCATTCTGTATGCCGCCTTTCCAGATTAAGGTGAAAAATAAGTATCCAAGCATAATCGGCTGCAATGAAATATATTCAATGATATACTTCCCTGAACATTTTTGCAAATATCTCTACTTCTCAAAAGAGCTGACAATAACAGCCTTGTTGTATGATCAGTAGAGCCCTGATTAATAGTAAAATAACACAAAATTTATGTATTAAAATAATTAAATAGCTGCGGTGGTTGATCTCAGTATATTTATAGATGCAAACGTAACAGCTGAAGTGTAAAAACTTACACAGCACATTTTGATGGTGGTACTGTAGCAATATCCCATATTAGCTATAGTTCCTTCTAATATAGGTAGTCCTTGACAATTCATTTAGTGACCGTTGAAGTTACAACGACACTGAAAAATGTGATGGCCATTTTTTATACTTACAACCATTGTAGCATCCCTATGGTCATACAATCAAAATTCAGATGCTTGCTAACTGACCCATATTTATGACGGTTGCCCTTTTGCAACTTTCTGAGAAGCAAGATCAGTGAGGAAGCTTAACTTACTTAACAGCCATGTTAACAGTATAACTTAAGAATGGCAGTGATTCACTTAACAACTGTGGCAAGAAAGGCTGTAAAATGGGGCAAAACTCAATAAATGCCTCACTTAACAGCAGAAATTTTGGGTTCTGGGAATACATCCGTTCTAAGGCCTTTGATCAATAAAATGCCTCCCCCTAAACATTTTAACATTTGCTATGAAATACTAATATTTAGGCAGCTATCAGCTGGATGACGGACTTAAACATTGAAATGATAGCAATAGCATTCAGACTTATATACCATCCCATAGTGCTTCACAGCACTCTCTGGACAATGTATAAGCATACATTCCCAACAATCTGGGTCCTCATTTTACTGACCTCAGAAGGATGGAAGGCCGAGTCAACCTTGAGCTCCATCAGGTTCGAACTCCTGGCTGTGGACAGAGTTTGCTTGCAATAGTGTATTTAAACACTCTGCCACAAGGGCTCCTAAATGATGACCTGGGTGCAACTGCTGAGAAAGTATTAGAAGGCATTCTTCAGGCTTTTTAACTTCAGTAGTGGTCAGCCTTTGCTGTTTCTTTTGATTTATTTGCCTTATGCCTTCTCTTACAATCATTCTCTGCTTATGTTGCCTTCTTGGGAAAGAACCTAACTACAGATCACACAGAAGATTATCTGATTATTTCCTGACAGCCTGATGATGTTTTGGAAGCATTTTGTCCTTTTTGTTTCTCAGTGATTTATTCAATTTACCTGAAGATAGCAAATGAGTGCATACAATAAACTTAAACCAGAGTTCTACCACCATCTTTTGGGAACCCTTTAGACAATATTTAGCTCAATATTTATACTAATATATATCTCCAAAAAGTATATATCAACTCTAGATGATAGCTGTGCAATCTTTTTACATGTTTTAACACCATAGGCAAATTCATAGTATTTTTCCAACAAATGTATTAATAAGATATAGAAAGTCCATAAAAAGTTAAGATTTATTCACATAACTCAATTTTAACTATTTTGATATATGGTAGTTTTTTAAAGCCTTCGGTAAAAGTCATTCATTGTTGGGGTCCCAAGATTTAATTACAAATATTAGACATTAGAAAATTGAAATAAACTGTTGTTTAAGTTATTAATGTCTACTGTTTCAAGTACATGCTTTGAAAAAAATAGGAAGCAGTCTTTGATTCTTGATCTGTTATGCTATTCCTTGATCACACTATTTATATGCATGAAGTTAAATTATTTATTATAAGCAATGAAAAAGAAGAGGATTAGAGTTTGATCTAAACTAGCGACCACATGAACTTAAAGCAGGGGTGTCAAACTTGCATTGTCAGGTGATGCATCAGGACTTTTTCCCCCCTTCTCTAATTCCAGGGCAGAGGGAAGCGTATGACGCATCTGGCCCGTGGGCCATGAGTTTGACACTCCTGGCTTAAAGAATTGAAAACGTCCACTCAACCAAATGGATTCTAAACCACCTTTTTGTGTTTGAATCTAAAGCTCTGATGAAAAACCTGTCACCGCTGACTGTAGTTGAGAGAAAAGGCTTGAAATCTTAGATGAAATAAGTTCAAAGGTTTTTCATAACCTTCCTATGTTTTATCAGATACTATCAGTTATAGTACTAGAAGAATATATAAAGTACTGTATATCATCTTTAATTCAAAAAGGGAATATTTTTATAATGTTTAATACTATGTAAGTTTCTTATAAGATACTAGTAAGATACAGCAGATTTTCCTAAAAATCTTTCAGAAAATTATTTCAGCTTTGAACTTGATGAATTATATGAGAACTCTTTGTGATAAGGCATTTTGTTTAAATCTGTTTTAGCAAACATACAAGGCCATGATCTGTGGTTGGTATTACACATTCACTAAAATTAGTTCTCTAAATATTAACATTTTAAAATTATTGTGGTGGAATAGTAAGCAAACTAATACATATCTTCATTTTTTTAGAAATCAAAATAGTGAGTACTATTAGTTTGTTGAACAAATTGTATAAATTGATGTCAGGTAAAAGAAATTAAATAGTTTTCTGTTATTAACTGCTATATTTATTCCCCCCCCGCCCAAATATTATAAAATCTTTTATATCAGTGAGAAATTACTTACTGAGATATAACACAATAACAATGAAGTTTGTAATATTCTTTGGATGAGGATAATTTTTTTTGGATGTGGTCATAATCTCCTATCTATATTATTAAGGATTTTTTTTAATTCAGATATTCTTTCTTCATCTGTCTGGGTTAAAGAGTTGGAAGAAATAATTGAAATAGATATTTAAATGTTGGTATTTCTGCTTATTTGGGAACTTGTACTTCCTTTTATTTGCGAATATATATATACATCACAAGTTTCTTTTTTTCCTTTTATTTATTTATCTGCATCTCGCCCTTATTATTTTTACAGGTAACTCAAGGTCGAGAACATACGTAATACTCCTTCTTCCTCCAATTTTCCCCACAATAACCCTGTGAGGTGGGTTGAGTTGGGCTAGAGAGAGGGACTGGGCCAGCAATCCCCAGCTGGCTTTCATGGCTAAGACAGGACTAGAATTCGTGGTCTTCCAATTTCTAGTTTCGTGCCTTAACCACTAAACCAACCTGGCTCCCTTATTACTTTTGTTTTTATTCCAGTTAATTTATTTGGATAATTGCAAGTATTTAGGATGATTTAAAAAGGGAGAAAGGAAAAAAAAACATGCTTATATGTTAGTTGAGTGAGCATTGAACTGACCTGTACAGTTCAATGCAAAGTTCTTGGTGATGTCTGAGCTTGGTTGTTTGCTGGCAGGCATGTCATTATCCAACACCATCAGACAGTTGTTACTTAGGTGGATAATGAATTGTCTGCAAGCAAACACTCAAGTTCAGACTGCACCAAAAGCTCATAATTCACCTCTGAACTGCAGATATTTATCTTTCCTATTGAAACTATTCAATGTATTGTGATTGTCATACTGGATCTCACTATAGGCTGATTAGATCTGGCACTGACTGAATAGAGAAATTGAGTAAATGGCCACTCTGA